ATTTAAAGATCAACCACTATGCTTGGATATACTGTCAACTTCTTCTGTATATATCCTTCTAGAGTAAATTTATACGCGATAGAATGCAAAGTTTGTAATTATTCACACAAAAGTATGGGTCCATTTGCCTCGTGGTCAGATCACTTTCTCTGTGTAAAATTTCGTGGTGTTCAAGCCACAAAAAATAAAGTTTTTTGTCCATTTCATCCACTATAAATTAACGGATCATTACCAAAAACAATAGGGCTCTTCTTTGGCCAGAACCCGTCCTACATGCAAAATTTCGTGACGGTTGATCAATAACTGTGGCCTGTGTGGTGTTTGCAAATTGTAATGGACAGATGGACGGACACATATGTCTATATCGACCCAGCTAGCGAGATATGACGATCACTGATCGGTATACTAAAATGTGGGTCTAGAATCAATATCTGGCGGTGTTACAAATTTTTGTGGCCACACACATCTATAATGCCCTTACCACATAGTGATGTAGTGTATACAAATTCAAGGCGGTCTTGTTTCAAGGCAGCCCCATCACCTAGGACATGCTATAAGAAGCCTATCATCTACTTAGGTGGAATAAAAACAATGATAAACGAAATTATAAGCCCTATGCTTCGAAGAGCAGTAACAGGAGTACATGTCAAAATTACCATTGAGAATATTTACGACAATAATAATCAAATTTAAAGTATGTTCTATAGGGCCTAACTGAAAGCATGATCAGACATATCATATCTGTACATAATTTAAAGCTATATCACTACTGCATTTGCTAATTATAATGTTTTTGCTTTTGGGGTTTCCAACAAATATATCGAAATGTGACCAAAATACTGTACCCCTCACCTTATGGTAAATGGAATACAAATAATTTCATATTCACCACACAGCTAGTAACGCATATTTGAAAGTATTTTATATTTTTTTTAAATGTTCAAATAAAAACTTCGAAAGTAGAGAAGAACTGCTTTGGGTACCTTGTGTCAATTATAATCGATTTGTGTCTTCATTTAAGTCAATTGACTATCCCTATATTATAGTTCACACTTTAATAAATAATTTCCTGTTTAACTACTACTTTCCTCTGCACATAACCCAACAGCTGTTTAACGTCTACTAACTGCTCTATAAATACCAATTAGCCTCTTTCACATATCTTAATTGAAATATATAAGGTATTAAAATACATAAGAAGGATATGATTGTCGTAACAATGTGCCACCTTAATGTTTATTAGTTGGCTTGTCTTGTTGTTTTCGTTTGTTCCCTTTTGTTATTTTACTTCCTCATATAAAAGGACTAGATGACTGAAGGTCAATGATATTTAAATCAGTTCCGTTGGCAATGAACAACAAACGACACACACACATATACTCACAATATATATTCTAATACCAATGCCATGTAAATAAACCATGAAGTCTGGAGACAGAGAGAGCAGGAGGTGATGTTGGGTCTTCATTCAATTAATTAGTCCATGAAATGTATCCCTCCAAACGAAGTGAGTGTAATAGCCCTGGCGATTAATACAATGTCACGTTCAAATCAATGTTGATTGTTATTGCAAGGGTCCACTAAATTTCCACAGTTTCTTCGTAGTGGATTTGTAAAGGTTGTTCGAACACTTATTTAACTTATTTATAATGAGCGTAATTTTATGTGTATTTTTTTGTAAATGTTTAATTATTTAATAAATTGTAGTGAACAATTAAATTATAGTAACAAATCCAGGAAGCAGTCGTGATGCGAATGAGTAATATTTATGATGTTCATGGTGTTACTCATACGTTGCAGTGAACTAATTTGTGAGGAAAAAATAATGTGGACAATGAGAAGACTATTCTTTAACTCAAAACAATTAGTCAAAATTATTATGAAATTCACAAGATTTATTTCAAAATATATATTTTTTCAAATTGTTCTTTTTCTTTTTTTATAACAGAGTTATAAAATTTGATAGTTGTTTTCTCAATTTCAATTGAGTAATCTTCCTTGGAAAATTATTTTATATAATCACCCTCAACATATAAATATTTTTTTATTTCATATTATCTAAGAGCTGACATGTTCCCTATGTTTCTTTCCATATTGCAACATTTTTAATAAACACAACATACTAAACCTCTTTCAAGAGCATCATCCATAAGTTTTGCCTTACCTTATGAGATATTCACCCGGGAACAGGTGCCCAAAATGTTTCCACCATGCAAAATGCACTGCACAGCCTGACAAAATGCACACAAGATCTCGTTCATAAAGAATGCCAGGAATTTTAATTTTGAGAAGAAAAAATAGCTAAGAAGGAATATCATTATTTTCTTAAAGCTAATCCTGTATACAGGTGGAGCAGATTCCTCTTCAGCGGTTTACCATAACAACGAAATTAGTTTCAGGTTGTCACCAAAAAGGCCATGTGCGGTGGCGTTTGTGTCGCTGACATTAAAGACTTGCTGATTTAGTTGGAAAAGTTTTATGACCTTCTCGACTCATTAAGTTTACGATGTTTTGTGTGGTTAATTCAAATGTGGTTAAATCAGCATTTCTGGTTCACTGTTGAGGGGATACTTCTTAGCTAACTTATTAGATTTAGAGTTTGCGTTTTCAAAAGGGTTTTAATATTGAGACAAAATATGAGTTAGATTTTATGCTTCGGCAGGTGTCAAGGGGTTGTCGTATTTTAGAAAATATGGTGTAACAAGTAAAAACGATGTTATGTTTGGCCCGGCCAAACTTTTTATACCCTCCTCTATGAGGGTAACAATCAAAATATCTGTAATAATTCAGGGCTGCTAGGAGAAAGCTTAAGTTATCATAGGACCTTGAACATACTGAAAATACGTGGGAAAAAGGTAATTGAAATTCTTAAAATAGCTAATAGTGGAGCTGCCGTTATTTGGGCCTGTAATAAAACCTGAAACGATATATCCCATTTGCAATACCAATCGTTCTAGGAGTACTATCAATGTGTGTGCAAAATTTCAGAACTCTTCCTAAAATATTACGACCTCTATCGTCATTTCAATAGACAGACATGCAGAGGGCCATGCGTGAATCGACATAGAATTTTATTATGACCAATAATATATACACATTGTGGGGTCTCCAGTGAATGACAAATTTAATATACATTGGTCCTAGATCCACTTTTTAGTATACCGATCGTCATATCTCAACTAGACATGTATGTGCATACGTTCGTCTGTCTATTATAATTGATATACACGATACAGGCCACAGTTATGGACCAATCGTCACACAATTTGGCATGTATGAGGGTTCTGGCCAATTAAGACCCATATGGTTAGGGGATAAAATGGACCAACAACTTAATTTTGTCTGTTTAATGGTCGTCCTAGAGGCCACAATTATCACCCGAACACAACCAATTTTTACACACAAAAAAAGGTATGACCATGGAATACGCATGACTGTTTTGATGAAGATCGGACATTGCGTGAATGTATAAATATTCTACAAAAGTTGAAAAGTTGTCCTTTTGGTATTCTATATAACAACCTTCTGGTCTACCAGCCATTTTTAGCCTTCTTTAAGAAGTCCAGTGGTTTTCTATAAGAAGGCTTCCAATAATTCTATAAAAACACATCATTGTCTTCTCTATTAACATCTCCAGGTCTTCTAAAAGACAAATAGATCTCCAGGTCTTCTACAAACGATCTCCATGTCTTCTACAAATGACCTTCTGGTCTTCTATAAGCGGGCCTTGTGCTCTTCTTAATTATCTTCCAGTCTTCAGTAAAATATCTTCTTCTGGCCTTATGAAAGTTATCCTTATGGTGTTCCTTAAGAGGACCTTCTGGAGTACCATTAAAATTATTTTGAGCCTTCTTTAATAAATCTTTTGGATCTCCTCACATTGTGGACATTGTGATTTTTTTTAACTTCTGTTCTTCTAGAAGAATATCTTTTAGTGATTTTCTATAAGAAGATCCTCATGTAAATGTATTGCGAGCCTTCTATAAGAAGACTGTTTGGTATTCTAATATAAGAACTTCTAATTTTCCACAAATCTTAAAAGTAAAGAAACCCACGATTGAGGGTATAAAAACTTCACCAAGAGGACCTGCATTGAGGGTTCTTCAAGCTTTCCTATAAGAATGCCATCTGGTCTTAAATACATAGAACTTCTGGTTTTTAATAAGAATAAATGTTTGCCTCTCCTAAAAAGAATTTTTTGTTTCCTATTAGAAACCAAAAATAAATCCGGCCACTTTTTTCGTTCCGAAAATATTTTTTTGCAATATTTAAATATTTAAATATTTTTCACACATTCCCCATTTTTAAAAAATATTACACATTTTGTTCAAATTTTCCATTGCTTACTCTGTTCCATTTAAACTGACCCGACCCGACATTTCGCACAGCAGCCAAAATAAATAAAATACCCTTGAGACACAGAAATTCTGTCATCGAGTATAATCTCATTTTTACTGGCTATGCATATTTAAGTACACAGAATGACAACGTGCTGCAGGGCGGGCGTCCAGCTAAATCCTCAGCAAATTAAAATAAAAAATGAGCGAATGTTTTTTAATCCACATGCAATTCAGACTCAATTATGTCACGTGTAATGGGAACAACTTAACGCTACAAATTATTTACAATGGACAATGGGGTGTAGGGTTTGTCTGTTGTAAATAATACATCTCCCCACAATATTGTCATAAATAATAACAAATTTCAATATTATTTTTTGTTATCAGCAACAATTGACAAAATGATTTTCCGCATATTATTACCGACGATTAAGGAAGGCAATGGGGAAAACCGCGTGAACTGTTCCACCTGAATTTAACATTTCGAGAGAAACAAAAAAGCTCCATCACCAAGTGTGAACGGGTGTTTGTGTGTGTGCTTGACAGCCAGTGTATTTCAATCTAATGTTTACAAGTCATAAACTTCAGTTGAGCATAAACTGTCGCCGACAATAAATTTTATAATGTCAAGTGGGTGCACCGACACACAGATACACTCACCTCACGGCACACATGGCTCATTGGAGGCACACATGAGAACCTGGGTATGTTCGCTTTTAGTACTGGTATTTGTTGTTGTTGTTTGTGATTTCCTCTAGGACTCTGGGAATATGTGTGTTGCAAAGCTTTACATTGCGTCGTTGTTGTTGTTGACTGTGTTGCTGTTGCACAATGCGTTGAAGTAACTCTAAAGAGATTTTATTTGGATTTAAAAATGTGCGGTGCTATAAATCTTACATGGAGATAGGACATTGGGGAAGTAGGACAGTATCATGTTTTGGAGTTCAAAATGGAAATGTGTATTAGGGTTTTTCCAAAAATATGGCAAATTTTCCGTATTTTATAAAAAAAGTAATTTTAGTATTCTATAAAAAATACTTCTGGTCGTCTATAAGAAGTACTTCCGGTCCTCCATAAGAACACCTTCTGGTCTACTATAAGAAGGCCTCCTGGTCTTCTATAAAACACCTTCAGGGGTTCTTTAACAATACTTCTTCTACAAGAAGATCTCCAAGTCTTCTATAAGAATGCATCCCGGTTTTCTATAAGAAGACATACAGAGCTTCTATAAGGAGACATCCTGGTCTTTTATAACATGGTCTTCTAGTCCTCAGTAAAAAACATTCTTCCTTGTGAAAAGTATCCTTCTGGTATTCTATAAGAGGACCTTCTGATCTAATATGAGAAGAATTTCTATCCTTCCTCCAAGTCTTCTACAAGAAATGTTTCTGGAAGACAACCTCCAGATATTCTATAAGCAAAACTCCTGATCTTCTATTAGAAGAGCCCAGTTCTTCTATAAGAAGGCCTACTGGTCTTCGTTAAGAATATTTTCCAGTCTTCAGTAAAGTACTACCTTTTTCTGGTCTTGTGAAAGATATCTTTCTGGTATTCTATTAAAAGAATTTCTATCCTTTTTTAAGAAAGTAGACATTGCGATATTTTAAACAATGCTCTTCATCCAGTCAAGTCCTTGAATACATTGCGACCTTCTATAAGAAGATCTTCTGGTCTTCTAAATTAAGTCTTAATAGACCGCTATATGTATACATCATGGTCTTCTACAAGAGGATATTCAGGTCTTCTATAAGAATGCATCCAGATTTTCTATAACATGGTATACAGATCTTCTGTGAGAAGTAATCCTGAGCGTCTGTAAGAACATATTCTAGTCTTCACTAAAATACCTTCTTCTTCTGGCATTATGAAAGATGTCCGCCTGTTATTCTAGAGGAGGATATTCAGGTCTACTATTAGAACAATTTCTATCCTTTTTAAAGAAACATTTTGCTCTCCCCAAAATAGACATAGTGAAATTTTAAATTGTGTTCTTCTACCGGAATTCCTACTAGTCCTAGAATACTTTTCGGTCTTCTACAATAATAACTTTCGGTCTTCCATAAGAAGACTTTCTGGCCTTCTATTAAAAGTGTGTTTAGCTTTCTATAAGAATACATCTTGTTCTTCTAATAGAAAAATTCCTGCTTTTCCACAAGTTCCAGAACTGAAGAAACCCACGATTGGGGGTAAAAATTTCAAATTGGAGCCTATTTTGCGCCTTAAGAATTCCGATTGATTTGTTCCTCTTACAAATAAAGATCTCATCCTCAATCCCATAGTGCATTCTGATCATTTTCCCATAGCTAGCTCTTCAAAGACCATTTTTTTCATTTACAACCACCTGCTTTGATGATGGTTATGATGATAGCACTGGAACAAACTCAACAACATTCACACACACACTCAAACAAACTAACAGCTACCATGGCAAGTCATACGAATAGAAACCCATTATCTTTGGGGGTTGTATGATTTGTGACCTGTTGCATGACTGGATTTTATAACTCTTTTGCCATGAGATTGGAACAAATGAATGAATGAAGCGCAAAAAAAAGCCCCGTCGACAAGGAAGAAGTCAAAGTTTAACCAATAGGAGAAGAAGGAATGGGCATAGGGAAAAGTGTTTACACAAAACCCAAACGATTTGAATGCATGTCTTAAGGTTAAAGTTGCATTTAAATGATTTTGGCTGGTTGATTGGATCAAACAGAAAACGGGTCAAATAGTCTGGTTTTTACATTGAATTTCACATTTGTATGGTGTCTGGAGATAATGTCTAATCGTCAAATGTACGGAAAAAATATATGTGTCATCGTAAGGAAATTTATGGGTGTTTTCTTGTGATGTTTCTAAATATACATAGTCATACATAAATGAAGGCAAATTTGTTAACACATGTTCCACTCAATTAGATAACATATGTTCTGTTCCAGTACTTTTTTAATAGTAAAGCTTGTAAAGGGGAATAATATCAAAATCGCTTTCAGAGTACTAAACAAATCGAAAAGTTCGGGAACAGAAGTATTTCGAAATTAGATGACATTACTTCAAATCAACACAGCAGCCAATAAGAATTTAGCATTCTAGCTTACCAATTTTACTCGCCTAAATTTCTTGAGTAAAAAGTTTGCAAAGAGAAATCCATTTTGTTTTGTGTTCTCTTAAATTTGCTTGAAATTTTTACTATTTTAGTAGTTTCAGGAATGAGTTTCTAGTAAAATATTGCAGAACTATTAATATGGAATTATTATAAGAATATTTTCGAATTCTTTTCACTGAATTATTCGTATGATAATATTGAAAATCCAAATTTTTAAATTTTTTATAAGGTGTTTAAGGGAATTAGTTTGATATTTAGACTCGAAGTTAGAACTATAGGGATTATGACCCATAAATAAGGCAGCATACATATTAATTTCCACGTCTTCCTAATTATTTTCCTTTGTCATAGATTGTTATTACTTTTAATGTCAACATTATGATCCAAAATGAATAGATGTACCAGAAGTGATCAGAATTCACCGTATTTTAAAAATTCGGTGTGTTTAGCACAATTACATTACAATGACATTTTGCAATGTCAATGTAATTTTTAAAATTTTCAAATTTTATATTGTTTATAAACCCTTTTCCGTATATTTAAAATCTAAATCGATGTTTACAACCAGAATATTTATATGCAAATAAAATAAAAATATACATCTTAAGGTGGTGGGTGTAGAAAGTTCAAATAAAAATTATTGACTCCTACTTGTAGTCGGTAAGATATTAATGGGAGATCGATAATCCATCCCACAAAGAAAATTTTATTAGGGGACCCCCCATTCTCGATTTCAAAAGAAAAGATTTTCATCGAAGGGCATGATTACCGATTACTGGAATATCCAAATCTCAAAATTTCAATCTCTAGAAAGAGTACATCTAGGATTATTGACTTCCCTCTAAAATCGTCCATTTTCGATCAAAAACCAAGATGGCGATAAGAAAGATCGTGACCGATTACATTTTTCCTAGTTCATACTATAGCTACCTAGGTCAAGAATAACATGTTAAAATTTGTAACAGATAGGTTTAATAGTTGTTAACTTTTTTAAATAGTTGTGCCTTGGAGATATTCTGGTGTTATTATACAACGCTACTTTCGCCCGAACATTATTATTTAAATCAGGTATAACCAGTCTACAGGTTGTTCTGTGGAGTATCATGTGGTTCCCAATATTAACATAAATCCAATAGAAATCATATTTCCCAACTTCAGGATGCCAGCCCTATCACTTCACCCAAATATAATTGTACCAAATTTAGTAGCATTTCGAACACTTTAGTATGAATTTCTAATTCTTCGTAAATATCCCAATCCTACACCCTAACAGTGATCCTAATCTCAAATTGCAAGATTTCAACTATATCGGTTCACCCAAATTCACTATTGGTACCATTTAGTACACATTAGTACAATTTTCCAAAACTTCCTTCATAACCTAATCTTACGACCCAACAATGACCATAACACTAAATTTCAGGATCTCAGCTCTATCGGCTCATCCAAAATTCAAATTTCATTTAGTACTTTTCGTGCCGTTCTTGAACGGATTTGCAAAAATCAGCCTTATCCGACACCTTTGGACCAAGAGTGACATCCACCCCAAATTTGAAGATTCTAACTTCAGTGTTCATGTTCGTCTTGGCGTTGATGAATCGTTAAGTCAGTCTATTACTTTAATATTTTTTATTAGTGTAGATTATGTATCCCTTCGTTATAGTCCTCATATAAGCAAAACCACTTGATTGTATTTTAAATACACCAAATTTTCGCTGTAATTTTGATGAGAATTTCCAACTTGAGCAAGAGCATGGCAATTCGTTTTCCTATTACATCATGTTACCATATCAAATCCCCATATAAAAGTTCCGATCAATTTCATGTTGGAGGTTTTTGACGTTTTTGACTAGGATGATCTGTTTGTTTTGTCAGTCTACAGACCAAAAATTTTAAACACACTTTTACACAGAGAAATCCAATTTTTTGTGGGTCAAATAGACCAACGATTTTATTTGAAATATTAAAACAAGTCATCATGGTTTTGTCTGGCATTAATCGTCACGCCATTTTGTTTAAGCAGGGGATTTAATTCTTCCAACAGTACTGCTTTGTTATTTGGCGACTGACATATTTGGCCCCTAATTATTACACCATTCGCGTTTTAAAGTTTATGAAGCTGAATCCTCGTTACTTCCAAATTTACTAAAAAAATATTTTTATCCCTCCTTCATACAACTGCGATTTCATCATTATTATTTTAAAAGGACATTTACTCCATTCGAGCGGCTAACAACATTACAACGCCAAAGATAAACAGAGAAAATGAAAAAGTCATTGTTTCGACGGATATGAGAAATCACTAACAAGAAATTAGCATTTTTTGCAAAGGCTTCTAAGTTGAGAATATTTAGAAGCTGTAAAGAGTGGGAGTAGTTTTTCGCGGCTTCCATGATGGTCATGATGTAGACTTTGGACATAATACAAAAACCGAGTTATAGCAGGAACTAAACACTAACTAAATAACAGCAGCATCGTCATCACTGGTTTTCTCATTGTCCTAGTATTCGTGTGAAATTTCATGGAAGACAATGCTTCCATGCCGCCTTTTCTACGTTCCAGTATTTAGGTTACAGTCTTTGTTGTGTCTAAAGAAGCTGTCGTTTTTCTGCTTCCTGCCATTTTATTTATGTTTGTCTGTATGTGTGTGTGTGTGCTTGTTTGCTAATTGTATTGTATTTCAATCCTTTTGTTGCCGCCAATACACACGTAATTATGTTTATGAGTCCATTTTTATGCCTAGGATTTATAGGTAGCACAACGACAAAAAATTAAAACATATTTTATAGCTTGAGACTGGCAGTAGTTGACAAAGTTCAATGGAACGGAGATCC